TCCACTTTAATTCTTTCAATTTGAATTTGAATTCAAATTCAAATTCATCCCACCACTTTCACTTAATCTGAATTTAACTACACGTGCCACCTAAGCAAGTAATTAAATTCTAACATTATTTCCCCAGCTGTCCACAAAACTCCCCGCCACATTTCCCCAGCTTTTTGTGCATCCAGAAGGTGGTAAATCTTGAATTTCTCCTCTCCAACATGCTATCCAGAATTCTGGACAAGTTCTAAGTGCTGCCATGGGACTCAGAACATAGGAAGCTGCTGTCCAGAAGAACTACAGTAGCAGAAACAGCAGTTCTGTTGTTCCCAAGTCCTCCAGCTTGCTGTTCAGATTCCTGGATTGGTTCCGTAAGCTATCCCAGGGATAGAAGCCTTGATAACTACTATCCTGAGTCTACAAGTTGTTGTCTACATATTCTAGATTATGCTAGTTGGCTGTCCTCCACTTAGAAACTGCCAGAATACTGTCCAAAGGCCATTAGTGAGTTAGAGTTGTTGTCCACTGCTCACACATTTAAACGATCACACTGGAGCATAATAGCTCCTCTACTTTGGGTAAACTCTACTCCCAACTTTTTTATCTTCTTAGTTTACTTCTCCAACGTGGTTATATTTTGATTCACAAAGCTCATGTCAAGCTCTTCACCGCTAAAGCTTAGAGAACTAAAGAGTTGAGTGAGGGACTCGTGCATATATAGTGCCTAATCTCATTGTTAGTTTAGGGATTTACGTTGAAAATCATTCATGTATGCAATGTTAGATTAATTAATTGTTTTACGATCTTAACTCCTATGCATGTAATTTAGACTAAGTTTGTTTTATCACCTTATTGTTTTATCTTAAGCGTTTAAATTGACATAAATTTTATTTAATATTGTTCTCAAAATATTAAGCGTGCAAATTTCTGTAAGCAACTCATCTTCACATGTTTGTTCTACATCACTTTCTCTTAGAGACAGGATACAAAATAAGCATATACGCGAAAAGGTTGGAGTAGCTCCAGTGGAAGATAAGATTAGAGATGTTGCGGATCTATGGTTTATGATTTTGATGATAGCAAACATTCCTTATTTCTCTATGATTGCCTTATGTGCTAACGTTTCAAGTCCACACGATCAGACTGCAATTTAGAACCAGCTCAAGATTGGATAGACTAGGTCTGTGTCAGTTTGTAATCTTTTTCCTTTCTTGAGTCTGTTGTATTTGGTGTGGCATCTAATGATTTGTAACTTGAAAGATTTTCTGTTGTGCCCTAAAAGATTTCTATTTTTGGTAACATCGTCCGGGACGATATTTATATCGTCCTTGACGATCTGATAAAAGTAGAAAATCTAATTAGGGCATCCTCATTAAAGCAGCCGTCATTATGCAAAACACATCGTCCTGGACGATTTTGTATCGGCTAGGACGATAGGCTCAATTCAGCAAGAATCTGCCGCCAGATCTATTTAGAAATAACCTATTTTTTGACATCGTCCAGAGAATCGTCCAGGACGATACAGGTCAATTTTTCCAAAATTTCTCTGGAATTTAAGGAAAGCAATTACATGGTCAAATCATCCTGGACGGAGGGAAGCTCACCAACGAAGAAGATCTCTTTGGTGTCAAAAAGACCCGGCGACTCCGCCGCACCGGGGAAGGTGGAAGTGATTTTGTAAGGGCTTCTCCGCCTAGCTGTGGGGGCTAAAGGAGAGACACTTAGTTTAGTGCAATACTTGAAGGGTGCCTCCAAGGAGTGGACGTAGGTCAAGGTTTGACCGAACCACTATAAATTCGGTGTGTTCTTTCTTTATTACTTCCGCACTTTTAATTTCCGCATTTGTTTTCTTTGTGGTGATTTTGGTTTGTAATTTGCTTAAAGTTCCTTCTTTACCAATTCACGACTCTCTTTATTTAGCCTTGGGCCAGTTCTATAGGGCTTAACATCCCTAACGAACTTTCAAGAGAGTCGTCTTAAATGATTTGGTCACATAAAATGGCGGTCTTCTGATGACCTGGTTAGCAAAGTAGATGTATTAGATTTGACTTATGTTAAGAAAAGTAGAGATAGACCTAAAAAGATTTGGTTAGAAAATATTAGAAATGACATTTCTTTATTAGATTTTGATGAGAATTGAGCTCTTAACAGGACACAATGGGGGAAAAGAATTCATGTAGCTGCCCCACATAGTAGGATAAAGGCTTGATATTATTGTTGTTGTTGGTGATGGACTGAATTGGAGCAACATAATACTCTGCGTTTGGGACTAAAATGGCTACCTATTTTGGATTTTTTTTAAATTATTGCCTTGGAGCAATTATGTCTTAATATTTTTTATAACTCATTTTTCATTAGGGAAATGAAGCTCCTTCTTTGAGCCAATGAACATGATCCTTTAAAAAATAATAGGGCATCTTTTAAGATTCATATGGATTAGATTGTGAAATAGATGAGGATATTATCAGCAGAATTCAAGTTGGATGGTTGAAGTGGAGGAATGCATTGGGCTTGTTGTGTGATAGAAAAGTACCCCTCAAACTTAAGATAAAATTATATAAGATGGTAGTGAGGCCTGCAATGCTTTATGGTGCTGAATGTTGGCCATTAAAAGAGAAGCATAATACTAAGTTAAGTGTGGCAGAGATGAGGATGCTCAGGTGGATGAGTGGCTTTACCCTTAAAGATAGGATACGAAATGAGAATATACGTGAAAAGGTTGGAGTAGCTCCAGTAGAAGATAATATTAGAGAGAGTTTCCTTAGATGGTTTGGTCACATAAACCGGCGGCCTTCTAATGACCCGGTTAGGAGAGTAGAGGTATTAGATTTGACTTATGTTAAGAAAGGTAGAGGTGGACCTAAAAAGACTTGGTTATAAAATATTAGGAATGACTTGTCTTTATTAGATTTAAATGAGATTTTGACCTTTAATATGACACAATGGAGAAAAAGGATTCATGTAGCCGACCCCATGTAGTGGGATAAAGGCTTGTTGTTGTTGTTGTTGTATGGATTAGATTGATGGGGAATGCTAGGGGCATTGGAGCACTCTCTTTAGGAATGTCCTTTATTTGATATGAATTCGGGTCGAGTAAAAGATTGAACATATATTCCTCTAAATTGATTGGTCTTCATAGTGTCTATTCATATTCAACAAGGGAGATGATACTTTTGAATTTTAGTTTGGTTTCCTTGGCTTATTTCTTAGATCTTGGAGGCTTTGATGAACTTGAGGCACACAACCTCTCCCAAAATTTTGGAGTTATAAAATTTGCCTCATTTTGCAAGGGATTTTCAATAAGGAAACTCAGAGGAAATTTTTGAAGAGAAAATAATTCTGAACCAGATTATTCATGAATCATTGGTATTTGTCATAATTTGAATAGCCAACATTATGTTACTGCTTTGAATGTCGAGATTCTATCAATCAGATATCCCTTTTGAGTTCATGTTAGAAGATCTTATATACACTCCTTAAATGAATATTGTATGTTTACTTTTCTCCTAAAGGGTAGGAGTCATCCGACCTTCCCTCTTGGCTTCGTCGACTTTGAATGATTGTTTGCATCTCATTTTCTCATTTCGTCAACCAAAAAGGTGAATGTGACTTTTACCTCACTCTTCCTTGGGTCCTAGTCTCCTAGACCTGAATAACTTCCCCTTTATTGTTGTTGTTGTTGAAGACCTAGAGCTTGGGCAATCTATCAAATTTCATCAACTGGGCCAATAGCTCCTAGAAGGTGTTTATTGAAGCCATGCAGAGATAGGGGGAAAGCTAATCATCAATATTGCATATAAGGTGCACCACGACATAGCTTTTTGGTGAGTCAATATAATATATTTAGTGATGGTCACATCTCTTTTTCTCATTTCAAGAATGATCATTATCTTTTTGTTAGTCAGAAGTTTTTGAGGTGCAGGTAATTTGTTTTAGCATTAGGGGTTCTTCCATGTATTTATTTCACCAAGAGTTTACAATTGTTTGAGTAGCGGCCTCTTAGACATCTCCTTCATGAGTGTTCTTTGAAGTCTTCCATCTTTCATAGCTTTGAGGATTTATAGATGCAAGAAGAATTATATTTCTCCTTCTTTAGAGGTTCTTTTAAGGTAGATTGGCCTAGTGCCCTCCCAAAATGACTTCTTGATATGCCCCCCTAAACTGGTTCTTTTTACTCAACATAATTGGTTGTTGGTCATTGGGACATTGGTCTTAATCTATGGCACTTGGTTTTGTGATATTAGGTAAGATTAGGATGGTCAACTTGGAGGCAAGAATTAACCTTTCTTCTAGTCCCGCTTGGTATTTTAGTGCCATAGGAGGAAACTTCATTGTTGTGCCTTCTTATTGTAAAAGGTTGCTTTAGAACTTTTGTGGCATTAACAAGCGGACTAATAGTTGAGCTAATTATTGTTGATTTGATTTTGAGGCCAACAAGCCCTTCTTTTGGGAGAGATGACAGCAAATCTACACATTTTGGAGCAGCCTTAGTAAGTTGACACCTTGGCTATTTGGGGATGATTAGATTTGGTCTCCTCCCCTTGGTTAGGAGATGAGGGCTCAATAGCTTGTTTAGTAAGAGCTTTTTTGGCTAGCACAGCCTTAGTGACCTGATTTATGGAAACAAACTTCATCTTGAGATTGTGCAAAAATGGAGGGCAACTCTAGTAGGACCAACATTGATAATTGCTTGGGGGGAATCGTAATGTTTATATTTCCTTAGCTTCATAGGCATGATGTTTCTTGAAGAGACCATGATTTTATGATTTTCTTTAAAATATGAGATTTAAATAAATAATATCAAGGTTAATTTGATTAGAATACTAAATTCAAGATTTATGTGATATAAAGATGCATACCTAAAATCATATAAGTATATGTATTGGTGAAATGGAATTATATAGTGACGACTAACATTATTTTGGTGCTATCATCATGATGAGGGCAATAGCATTAGGAGTTAAAGCTCTAATGCTCCCAATGATTTGAGCGGTAATGCCATGGCAACTTACTAAACAAGGAACGCTAAGAATACATATAACTTCACCAATAGCTCTTGGGCCACTACTAGTGCCAGAGACAGCAACACTTTCTCCTGGGTGCCATTCTGCACAAATAAAACAAAGCCAAATAAAAAAAATAAAATAAATAGGCAAAAAAGGTAGGAGGCCATAATAATAATTAAAAAGAACCTGAAAGAGTCATCCTCCAAATGCTATACTAATAAAATAATGTATATTGAATAGAAAATAAATCTCTTTGATTACTCAATTACATCTTGAGTTCAGAAGGCGTTAACATATCAATACAAAAAATTATGATCGTCTTAAATTAATGTAATTACTTGAATAGTCAAGATCAAATAAAGTTGTTTTGTATTCAAGAAAAAAAAAAGGTTTCATATATGAATAATTGTAAGCAAAAATTATGTAAACATACGTATAAGAACATAAATAATTTTTCATTTCATCAACATAGACTTCAACAATAACTCAATAAGGAAATAAAAAATCAACAAATGAAAGAAAATAAAAGAAACAAAGTACAAATTAATAGCCAAAACCAACTACAAAGTAATAGCCAATCCAAAGCCAAATAGAAGTCTGAAAAAGAATCACAACTTAACATAAATACCAAATTAATGAAATAACTAATGTCTAGAGGTCAGCTCCTACAATGATAGTTTATAAAGCAACTTGGCAGAATCTGTTAAAAAAAAACTACCACAAATGAGTTTGGCATGTGAACTAGATAATTATTATTTATTAAGTATAAACCATAAGATATGGGGCATGCAATATGAAAATTAAAAGAGAACAATTTATAATATAACATCAATATAATGAATGTCGTTATAGTAGCAATTTAGAATAATATCGCATCGTATGAATGAAAATCATTAAATATTTTAAAATGACTCATGATCATTTATCACAATACTTTTATAATTGTATATATTTATAGCCAGTCTACCAAGATAGCTTGAACCAATAAGATTTTAACTAACCCATACAAATTCAATGATTACCAAAAGAGTCATAATTATGTGGACTCATCGAATCTACTAGCCAATTTCAATAAGGTTCCAGTGACATCAATTGCAGATAAGAAAATATTCTCTCTCTCTCTCTCTCTATATATATATATATATATATATATATAACAAATATTCTATAATCATATGATGATAAGGCTACTGTGATGCTGATCTGTGTTTTCCTTGTTACCAGCATGGATAGGATTCTTGAACATTATGAGCGGTACTGCTATGCTGAAAAAGCACTCCAGAATACAGAACCTGAGTCACAGGTCTGGATCAGCATCCATCGTGTTATCATCATCTTCAACATTTCTAGACTTTTTGCCAGTTTGCTTCGTGAGAACCAGTTTTGAAAGATCTCTCTACCTATTCATTTTTACAGAAACCACTAAAAAACAAGTACATTTATAGCTTACGCCTACTTTGTTTCTTTCTCGAAGGGAGACATTTGTCAGGAATACGGAAAGCTTAAGAATAAGATTGAAGCCTTGCAGAAAAGCCGAAGGTACACTGGCTTTTTGTATCATATAACATTGCAGTTATGAAGACGTTGTTTTGCTAACTTAAGGCTCTGATAATATTATGCTATTATTTAAGCCATCTCATGGGTGAGAAGCTGGAAACTCTAAGTTTGAAAGAGCTTCAACACTTGGAGCAGCAACTTGAAACAGCTTTGAAGCATATAAGATCCCAAAGGGTAAATCATTCGCTCCAATACTTGAATTTTGGATATACAATTTTTGCATGAAGTTGAATCTCCAGGCTATGTGCACCTATCCTTTTGATGCAGACTCAGCTACTCCTTAATTCCATAGCAGAGCTTCAGAGAAAGGCAAGTTTCTGTTTCCCCTCAAATATACTCTTCGTTCATGCATTTGGATTAAAATTTTGTCAGACTAGTTGACGAAAGTGAGGTTAAAGTGAGTGCTGAATCTGGCTGGTATTAAGCTGCATGTATATGCTTCATAGGTGCAAGCATCATGGATGATCTGAAATGAATGATATTTCATTGAATGCAGCAAGTAGAAAAATAAATTTAGTACTTGAACATTCTTATTGTTTCCCAAGTATTTGGGTTAGTGTTATGAATTCTCATTTTCAATTCTTCCAAAAATTTCCTTGTGTACTTGATAAAATTTGAGGAAAAATAATTATTCTATCTATGAGCATAGAGTCCATAAAGATATACAGAAAAGACTATTTACAATAGACGGAAACACTTTTAAGAGCTAGTCCCCATAAATTAAGTATATTTATTGTATTTAATGTCAACAAAGACATGATTGTTATTGCACTATTTTCCTTTATCGCTGTGCTATGGAATTGGTACAACCAGTCCTTTGTATTTGCTAATTCTAACTTCTCAAGTTGATGTGTGGATATTTTCATTCCCAACTTGCCAATGATGAGCTTAAATGTTGACTATCCAATCCTTTTGTTAACATATTTGCAAGTTGATTCTCATCTGATATAAATTGAGCACAAATCAATCCACTATATACCTTCTCTTTAATAAAAGTATCTATCTACTTTCACATGTTTAATTTAGTCATGTTGAATAGGGTTATATACAATGCAGCTACCAACTTGTTATTACAATACAGCTTCATAGGATTTTTCCATGCATGTGGGATCTTCTTGAATCATTTTTAACTATGGAAGCTCACAAACTCCAACTGTAGTTAAAAACTCTGATTTTTATACATGAACTTGCAATTATATATTCTTTAAGGAATTCTCTACCACCACTACATAAATTGACTCACCATTACAACGACATTGGCAATGTCCGATCTGTTCTGAGAAAGGTAGATTGGGTTGTGCACTGATCTCATAGAATTGTGGTACGTCTTAGGTTTCACAAATTAGGGTTTGCCCTAATTTCCCTTCAAAAGAGTGAAATTTCTCCACCAAAATCAAATGAGAAAACAATCACAAAAGGGTAGAGAAGAAAAATGAGAACCTTTGCATTAGCAAGCCAAGAGAAAACAAGATAAGTTTGTCCACTTCGAGAAGGACAAGATCTCCCACAAGAAAACCCTAGAAAAGCACAAGAGAAGATTAGAGGAAGAAAACTAGAAAGAGAATACACTTTTTATAATGCCCAAAACTAAACCCTAATGGCTTCCTTCATACCCTTTCAAAAAATATCCTCCCATCCCCAAAATACCCCCACTTAAGTGGGGGTCCCTCTTTGGTCCAGTCGGACTCCCGCCCCCCTCTTCCGCCTGTAGACCCGCACGGGTCCAGGCGGGATCGGTAAACCCGGTCCAACAATACCGCCCTTTAGAAGATCAACCTTGTCCTCAAGGTTGAAGTCTGGAAATTGCGCATACATGGTTTCGTATATCTCCCAAGTAGCCTCATGTGTCGGTAAGACCTTCCACTCGATGAGAATCTCCCTTTTGCCTTGATCATTCTTCCTCACTTCCTTCACATGTAGTGGCTCTAGTAAGAATTGCATATCTTCTGTGAGGCCCTGGGGTATAGTAGGAATGACCACATTATGATCCCCTATGCTCTTCTTCAATAGCGATGCGTGGAATACAGGGTGGATGGAGGAATGAGGAGGTAACTTGAGACGGTAGGCCACCATCCCAACTTTCCTTTCGATCTCGAAAGGCCCATAGTATCGTGGAGAGAGCTTTTCACTCCTTCTGCTAGCTAAAGTCTTCTGTCTGTAAGGCCGTAGCTTCAAGTATACCATCTCTCCAACCTCAAATGTCACATCCTTGCGGTGAGCATCCGCCTTGGTCTTCATGATCTGTTGGGCCCTCAATAGGTGTTCCCTCAACTCTCCCAACACCCTATCCCTCTCCTCCAAGTATTGATCCACTAAATATACCGGGGTCGTCCCCTTCTGATAATTCACCAACGGTGGTGGATCTCTTCCATAAAGAATCTTGAAAGGTGTGAACTGAGATGCGGTATGGAAACAAGTGTTGTACCAATATTCTGCCCATGGAAGCCATTTGACCCACTGCTTAGGCCTCTCCCCAACGAAGCATCTCAAGTAAGTCTCCACGCTCCGGTTCACCACCTCGGACTGTCGTCTGTCTGTGGGTGGATGCTTGTACTCCGCTTCAAGAATGTGCCCTGCATCTTGAAGATCTCTTTCCAAAATGAACTCAAGAAGACTTTGTCCCTATCCGAGACAATAGAAGTGGGGACCATGCCAATCGAACCACCTCTCTGATGAAAGTAGATGCACACAGTAGGAGCTGAAAAAGGATACCGTAGTGGAATGAAATGCTATACTTGCTCAGACGGTCAAACTACCACCCATGATGACGTATATCCTTCCGACTTGGGTAACCCCTCAATGAAATCCATGGTGACTTCCTCCAAATTCTTGTTTGGAAGCACAAGGGCTGCAGCAAACCACTGGGCACAAGCTTGATACTTTATCCGTTGACAAATATCACATTTGCTCACCATGTCTTCGACATCTCCTCTTAACCCTTTCCAAAAGAATTCGGCTTTCACCCGCCGATAGGTTTTCTCCACCCCCGAATGTCCACCAATACGGCTACGTGGTACTCCCGTAGAAGAATGGGGACAAAATGCTGAGTCAACGGTTCATAGTACTAACCTCCCTTTGTATAATAAAAGAGAGTTCTCTAGGTGATACCCTTTGAACCCTCCTCTCCCTTCTGGATAGCCGCCCGGATTCTCTCTAACTCCTCGATTGTTGATTTTCCTTCACCATTTCACCCCAATCACAATCGTGGAACAGATAGTGCCATCAGCTGTGAGCACTCCACACGCGGAAAGAGCATCTGCCGCCTTGTTTTGAGTCCGGGCTTATACTGAATCTCAAACTCATACCCCAAGAGTTTTGCTAGTCACCTCTGAGTTCCTCCGCCACCAACTCTGCTCTTAGTAAGTACTTGAGGCCTCCTCTGATCAGTACGAACTATGAATCGTTGCCCCATAGATAAGGCCGCCATTTTTGAATGGCCAACACAATGGCCATCAGTTCCAGCTCATAAACGGACTTCGACCTCGCTCTAGGTGATAAGATCCTACTGAAGAAAGCAATCGGCCTATTGATCTGCATGAGCACTGCTCCCAAGCCCACTCCTGATAGTCCGTGCAGTCTCTATACACAATTCGTTTTGATCAAAGTTGCTGTGAATGAAATCTGGAAGAGCCAAAAAAACCTGTGTGCACTTGTCCCATGGCTTCCTCAGATAGTTCTTTCATGGCCTTCTCTCTCGCCTCTTCTCTCCCACTGAAGTCTTCGTTCTCTTACTAATTTCGACTCATCAAAGGCCTGCCTAGTGTAACTTAGTCCCTTGAAAATATAACTCTCCTGATAGTAGCATAGTAAGTCCCAAAATACCCATAGCCTTTTAAAGGATTTGGTGTGTAGCCCACTTCCACCAAATGGCCTCTATTCTTGGTCAGGAACGTCAGCCCGCACCCACCAACTCCCTGATTAGAATGAATGTGTTCCAGATACTCCCACCCTCTCTGAGCGAAAGAACACTTCTTATGTGTGACGTATAGCTGTTATGCTCCAATAAGGCGTGAATACCACCCCAAGGATGGTTGATATGAATCCGCAGAGATTTGCATTTACTACCAATAGTATCATCAAAAAAAAAACTAGAACAAACCTCCCTCAAGTAGGGCTGAGAGAACCTAAATTCATCAGGCTCTTGAGACAATTGTCATGAGAGGGTAGAGACAGCTTTAAGACTGAACCATTTTATCCGTTGTACGTCCGCCAACTGGCACAATCACTAGAAAGCTTCATAATGATTCCCTCAGATGTCCTACAGAAAGCTGGCGTTCTGACATAGTTCTTCATGTCTTATCCTAATCTGTGTGATAACCAGGATTTCAGGTCCACTCCTCGATAGGATTAAAATTTTGGTGGACTCGCCTCACAACTTCATCCAAAAAGCATGAACTCATTTCCTACCACCGGATATAGAATAATTTTGTCCAATCATACATGTCTCCTGTTTGCGACAACGGGCCCGTAGTTCCCACAGAATTCTAGATATCGCCTAAATCATATTCCAGAATTAAACTTTCTTTTTACTTCAATGAAGTCCGACATCACAGGCGTTGTGTGAAAATGGGCTCACAGCCTAAGGGCTATCACCTGAGCCTACCATTCAATTCTCTGCTACTAACCTCTCAACCTACCTACCTTTTCTGACGATGTAAGATTACTAATTATCCTGCTAGCGTCGCACGTTTCTGGCATGACGGATTGCTACCCCTGTTCTTCAACACAATAGCATGCTCCCTGATCTGATAGGGGGTAGCCCTTTGGGCCATCTGAAATACTGTAAGAGTGCTGTTGTAGAAGATCCCTGGACCACCTCAGGATGACTTCTGGCTCTCTTTCTACCTCCATGCCCACCGCGTAGCTCTATCAAATAGCCCTCCCATCATCTCTCAAAAGTCTTGAAGATGGACTTCAAGGCACACCTGGATTTGCATAAACTGGGTTCCCCTATAGTGTCACTTCTCCTGCCTCCCCTTTTCCCATACATCCAGTATAATTTCTTCAATTCCACCTTCATCTCCCCTAAGGACTGGAGCCACTGCAATCCCAAAGTATCACGTCAGTGCTTCCCAAATCAGCAGTAGGAAGTCATTTGCACTGTCTCCTTTCCTTGCAATGTTAAGGTCACTTCCCTTACACTGCCCGCTTATTAGCCGCTCCTTCTTTCCCGTGCCCCATTAATGACTCCTACACCTCTCCCCTGTGTCACTTGTAGCCCCACCCTCTCCACCAATCGGCAAGCCAATGAAGTTGTGGGTGGCCCCACTAATCAATCAGAACCATCACCTTGTACCCTGCAATCTCCC